TGGCGGGGTGCACGGTGTATGAGGCTTAGCGGATTCCTCGGGATGGCGATTTTACGTGAGACATCTTCACAAAAATGAAATCTTCGCGACATCGCGTTTAACAAAAACAAGCGTTTCGCTCGAGACATCCTCGAACAGTTGATGACAGCGAAATGTCGCCGTCTGTGAAAATTTGCGTTTCGCTCGGGACATCCTCGAAAAAATTAAATGACGACTGAAGTCTTCAACTAACTCTTATGTTAAGAATTGCGATTTCGCTAGGGACATCCTCAGAAAACGAGCGGCAGCACGGCGGACCAGAACGAAGAGCACGGCAGAAATGTGCATTTCGCCAGGGACATCCTCAACAAAATGAGATGTCCTCAACGTCGTCTTGGTATCGTTCTCGAAGTGCCTCAAGATGAGGAAATGAGATGCCAAAAAGCACGTCAAGATGGCTATCAGAACGATTGGGGGACTTCCGAAAATAGCGATTTCGCTAGGGACATCCTCAAAAAATGAAAACATACACCAGCATCGACTTGAAAACTGTTGTTCTTACATAGTTTTGACTTTGCTTCTAAAAAGGCTTCCAGACGGCCCAAGGCAGCCTTCAAAAAATGTCGATTTCGCTAGGGACATCCTCAAAACATTGATGCGTGCGACATCGCATCGTAATGATTTTCGGAGGGCATCAGGAAGCAACAGAAGGCCACAACATGGCTCCAAGAGCGCCCTTAAGGTTGCTGAAAATAGTGATTTCGCGAGGGACATCTTCAACAAAAAAAGCAAATCGAACAACATCGTTTTGAAAACTGCTGTTTCAACATCGTCTGGGGATCGCTCCTGAAAAGGCTTCTAGATGGTTCCTGCCAGTCATCTAAAAATGACGATTTCGCTAGGGACATCCTGAAAAAATGAATGTGTGTAACATCGGACTGTAACGGTTTTGTAAGGCATCAAGAAGGCCCCCAAAGGCCCCAAACAAGCCCAAATTTGACCCTCAGGAGCGCCCTCGAGACGATCCAAAATGGCGATTTCGCCTGAGACATCCTTACAAAAATGAAATGTTCACAACATCGATTTCATCAAAAATGAGCGTTTCGCCTGAGACATCCCTTAAACATGGGAACCCGCGAATTCGACAGATGTTCAAAAACTAGCGTCTCGCCTGAGACATCCTAACAAAAATGATATCTTGGAGTGGCGGTTTCAATACCTCTCATGTTTAAAATCGCGCTCTCGCTGCATACATCCTCAAAAAAATCGGGCGGAGCATGGCCGGCGAACAAAAGTGCTCCTTCGCTCTTGACGTCTATTCTGCCGTGCTCTTTCGTTCTTGGGGTCTATTCTGAAATGCTCCTTGTTTTTTTGTGCCGTGCTCCTTCGCTCTTCTAGCCTATTCTGCCATGCTCCTGGCCAGTTTCTGTCACAATCCTTTGTTCTTGGGGCTTATGATGCCGTGCTCCTGGTCGTTTTCTGCCGTGCTCCTTAGCTCTTGGGGCACATTCTGCCGTGCTCCTTCGCTTTCGGGGTTTATTCTGCCGTGCTCCTTGTGTTTTTCTTGCATACTCCTTCTTCCCTGGGGCGTATTATGCTGTATTATTGCATCTATCTTGCCGTGCTCCTTAGCTCTCGCGGTCTATTCTGCCGTGCTCTTGGTCACTGGTCGTGTTTTGCAATGCTCCTTCTTTCCTGGCGCCTATTCTGCCGTGCTCCTCAGCTCTTGGGGTCTATTCTGCCGTGCTCCTGTTTTTTGTCTGTCATGCTCCTTCGCTCTTGGGGCCTCTTCTGCCGTGCTCCTCAGCTCTTGGGGTCTATTCTGCCGTGCTCTTTGTTTTTTTTCTGCCGTGCTCCTTCGCTCATGGGGCCTATTATGCCGTGCTCCTGTTTTTTTTTTCTGCCGTGCTCCTTAGCTCTGGGGTCTATTCTGCCGTGGTCCTGGTCTTCTTCTGCCGTGCCCCTGAGCTCTGGGGGTCTATTCTGCCGTGCTCCTGGTCATTTTCTGCCGTGCTTCTTCGCACTTGGGGCATCTTCTGCCGTGCTCCTTGTCTCTTCGGGCCTATTCTGCCGTGCTCCTCGTCTTTTTCTGGTGTACCCCTTCGCTCTTCGGGCCTATTCTGTCGTGCTCCTGGTCTTTTCTGTCGTACTCCTTGGCTCATCGGGCCTTTTCTACGGTGTTTCGGTCTTTTCTGCCGTCGTCCTTAGCTCTTGGGGCATCTTCTGCCGTCATCCTGGTCTTTTTCTGGCGTCTGTTTCGCTCTTGGGGCCTATTATGCCGTGTTCCTTAGCCCTTGGGGTCTATTCTGCCGTGCTCCTGGTCTTTTTCTGCCGTGCTCGGCAGCACTTGGAGTCTATTATGCCATGCTCCTGGTTTGTTTACGACGTGCTCCTTCGCTCATGGGGCCTATTCTGCCGTGCTCCTGGTCTTTGTCTGCCGTGTTCCTGCTTTTTTTTCTGCCGTGCTCCTTCGCACTTGGGGCGTATTCTGCCGTGTTCCTTGTCTCTTGGGGTTCTATTCTGCTGTGTTCCTCGTCTGTTTCTGGTTTGCGCCTTCGCTCTTGGGGTCTAGTTTCCCGCACTCCTTCAGCTCTCGGGGTCTATTCTGGCGTGCTTCTGGTTTTTTTTTTCTGCCGTGCTCCTTCGCTCTTGGGGCCTATTCTGCCGTGCTCCTGGTCATTCTCTGCCGTACTCCTTAGCTTTTGGGGTCTATCCTGCCGTGCTCCTGGTCTTTCTCTGCCGTATTCCTTCGCACTTGATGCATATCCAGCCCTGTTCCTTAGCTCCTGGGGTCTATTCTGCCGTGCTCCTGGTCTTTTTCTGCCGTGCTCCTTCGCTCTTGGGGCCTAATCTGCCGTGCACCTGGTCTTTGTTTGCCTGCCCCTTGGCTCGTGAGGTCTATTCTGCCGTGCTCCTGGTCGTTTTCTGCCGTGTTCCTTAGCTTTTTGGGCGTATTCTGCCGTACTCATTTGTTATTGGGGTCTATTCTGCAGTGTTCCTTGTTTCTCTTTGCCGTGCTCCGTCGCTCTTGGGGCCTATTCTGCCGTGCTCCTCATCTTTTTTCTGCGGTGTGCGCCCAGAAGCTCTGCCAAAACGGCCACCGCGACGATCCGCACGGCAGATACAGGAACACGGCAGAACACACAGAGCACACAGAGGCACGGCAGAACACAGAAGCACGGCAGAACAGGAGCACGGCAGAGCATACAGGAGCACAGCAAAACACACCCCGCACGCACGCCGACACGCGCGCCACGGCATACTTGCGCGGCATGACAACAACAGAGCATGTTCCACATGTTTGGTGGACTAAATGGGGTTCGGCGCTGTACCGATTTTTTCGTTGGCGGATTCCCACAAGCAGCGATATCGCTCGAGACATCTTCCGAATATGGAGGTGTTGGAGGCTATCGTTTAAGACGTTTTCTGTAAACAAGTGACATGTTCGTTCGAGACATCCTCAGAACATCGGGATGTCGAAAAATGTCAAGGATTTTGTCGTGTATGAAAATTAGCGTTTCGCCCGAGACATCCTCGAACCAATGATTTGTTAGAAAAGCTGTTTTACCACTTCTCATATAAAACATTGCGCTTTCGCTCGGGACATCCTCAGGAAATCGGGAGGGGCGCGGCAGACCGAAAAAAGGAGCACAGCAGAAATTGATCATTTCGCTGGGGACATCCTCAACAAATGAGATGTTCGCAACATCGCCTCCACAACGTTTTCGAAGTGATTCAAGACGAAGAGATGAGAGCCCCCAAAGGAGCCCAAGATGGCTCCAACAGCGCCCTGGAGTCTGCCGAAAATGACGAGTTATCTAGTCTTTCTGCCATGTTCCTGGTCTTCTTCTGGTTTGCTCCTTCGCTCTTGGGGCCTACTCTGCCGTGCTTCTTAGCTCTTGGGGTCTATTCTACCGTGCTCCTGGTCTTTTTCTGCCGTGCTCCTTCGCTCTTGCGGCTTATTCTGGTAAGTTTCTGCCGTGCTCCTTGGCTTTTGGGGTGTATAATGCTGTGCTCCTGGCCTTTCTCTGCCGTGCTCCTTCGCACTTGGGGCATATTCATCCCTGCTCTTTAGCTCCTGGGGTCTATTCTGCCGTGCTCCTGGTCTTTTTCTTCCGTGCTCCTTAGCTCTTGGGGCCTATTCTGCCGTGATCCTGGTCTTATTCTGCCTGCTCCTTTGCTTTTGGGGTCTATTCTGCCGTACTCTTTTGCTCTTGGGGTCTATTCTATCGTGTTCCTGGTCTTTTTCTGCCGTGCTCCTTCGCTTTTGGGGTTTATTCTGCCGTACTCCTTTGCTCTTGGGGTCTATTCTGCTGTGATCCTGGTCTTTTTCTGCCGTGCTCCTTCGCTCTTCGGGCCTATTATGCCGTGCTTCTGGTCTTTTTCTGCCGTGCGCGCCCAGAAGCTCCGCCAAAACGACCACCGCGACGATCCGCACGGCAGAATACAGGAACACGGCAGAACACACAGAGCACACAGAGGCACGGCAGAGCACAAGCACGGCAGAACAGGAGCACGGCAGAACACACAGGAACACAGCAAAACACACCCCGCACGCACGCCGACACGCGCGCCACGGCATACCTTCGCGGCGTAACAACAACAGAGCATATTCCACATGCTTGGTGGACTAAAGCGACGCTTCCCGTTCTTGTCCGGTCAGGTTTTTCATCCAAAATCCCCCTGTAGGGGGACATGCCCGACCTAAGGGTACCGAGGGGAAGACGGCCATCGGCCAGGAGGCTATGACGTCGCTGGGATAGGGTCGCCAGCAGCACGCTGTGCAGCCTCCTGCTCGAAGGCCCTCCTTGCCCCGGCAACGCTGTCCCCCCCCCGCTGGTCGCTGGGGCGGGCCCTCCGAGCCTGGGCCAGAAGCTGCGGGTGCTGGGCCAGACTGCGGTTCGGCGTTGTCCTGGGCTGGGGGAGGTTTCTCGCTCGGGGCTGCACCGTCCTGGGCCCCCTCTTGTCTTGCCGAGGCGGAGGCGCGGGGCCCCCTATGCTCCTCCCAGGCCTTGGCACACCTGGAGGCCGCCTCCGAGAAGAGACACTTGGCTGCGGGCTGGAGCTGCGTGGCGAGGGCCTCCCTGCGCTCTTCAGCCTGCTTGAGTTCCCCTTCCTCGGTATCTTCACCACCCCCAAGATTGAACACGTCTCCGAAGTCGATGGCGAAACCGTCCAGGGATCCGTCCAGGAGCGCATGGAGGGACAACTTTGGTTTTGCTTCTTCAGTTTCTTGGTGCTGGGACTCGGGCCCCACAGTGCCGACCTCCGCGGCCAGGAGGTCATAGTCGGCCTGTATGTCCTCGAGCTTCGTCTTGGGGCTCACGATGTACTCCCAGTGGTTGTCAATGTCGCGCTTCCATTTGACATGTTGGTCCATGGCCTTCCCGAGCTTCGCACCCTGCTGGTCCAAGGCCCTTCTGGATGCTGCCAGCCTCTGCTCGATGGGTGGCGGCGGCGGCGGTACCCTGTTGAGCAATTTAAGCTGCATTTCGCAGAGGGCCATGAGGGACTTGTCACCGATCTTGCTGGACGTCTCACGCAGGCTGCTGAGCTCGTCTTTGCGAAGGGATGTCGCGTCGAAGTCCGGGGAGGGTTGACTGTACCTGTAGCGCGGACCCCGCGGCTTCCACTCACCACAAATGCTTGCACCAACGGTAGGTACTCGGTTTCTTTCCGCACCCTCACGCCATACACTTCCACAGGGGTCCAAAGTACATCCAAGGCCTACGCACCCAACCACTGTTCCCAAGAGCACCCTTGTCAGCAAGCGCGTGCGGCTGACTGGCGACTTTCCTGGGGACACTGCGGGCAGGCGGCATGAGACCGTCGTGGTGTGGGCTCAACCTCAGCAGCGCGGAACTACATTGAGGAGGCCTGGAAGAAAACAACAGAAAATTGGCCGCGGACTAGCGATATCCACTTTGTTTCCAGGGGGGGCCAAAATCTTGAGCCAAAATGGCTACGGCCTCCCCCTCCTCCTCCTCCTCTTCCTCCTCCTCCTCCTCCTACTCCTACTCCTACTCCTCTTCCTCCTTATTCTGTTCCTCCTCCTCATTTTCATCCTTCCTTCTAACCTCACTCCTCCCCCTCTGCCGATTGCAAACCCAAGCATCGTCCACATCATGACTACCACCACTACTACACAGTCAATCCTGGTCATAAGGACGAGTAGCCCAGGTGTGTCCTTTCATCCTTGCATATTCGGCCGATTATTGAACCACAGTCGATGGCCACTTTCGTTCAAAAGGCTTCAACGTGGGCGCCCAGGCTTCTTGCATCCCTACCGCTCAACCATATGATCATGTCGCGCTGTGTAACGCTCGTCGTTACGCCTTCTCCTCCTCCTCCTCCTCATCATCAGCAGCAGCATCAACATCACTTTGATCATCACCATCATCACCATCACCAGCATCATAAGCATCATCAGTATCATCATCATCCGCATCATCCTCCTCATCATCAGCAGCATCAGCATCATCATTATCATCATCACCATCATCATCATCATCATCATCATCATCATCATCATCACCATCAGCATCAACATCATCATCATCATCGTCGTCATCATCGTCATCCGCATCATCACCATCATCATTATCACCCGTTGCTATGGCAGCTGAAGGTTTAGACAGTTTACTGAGTCCGCACCTTGGGGGTGGGGCGATGAACTGGCCGGAGCTGAGCGCCGAGTGCACGCGGGCGATCGCCGAGGTGCTCGAGGCTGTGCTCCCCCTTGTCCACGTGCTCGTCTTCGTCAAGCTGCTCCTCTCTTCCCCCCCTCTCGAGGATGTGCTTATCCTTGCCCACATGCTCGTCTTCGTTAAGCTGCTTCTCCCCTCTCTCCCCTCCCCCATCCAACCCCCCTCTCTTCGCGAAAGAACAGCGTCGGGAGGTGAGAAAAAGCCGGCCCCAGGAGGATAAGCCAGCCTCAGGGAAAAGCTCCAGACTTCCGGGGCCATCGGCTGCGAAACAAACACGGCGTCGCAGTTATGGATCGGGCTGGACCTAAACGTTGTTTTGCTTGACTTCGGCTGTGTTTTGTTGTTCGTTTTGGCAGGGAGGTACAGGAGAACAGGTAGAGCAGAACGAAAAACAAGACGAAAAACAACGTTTCGGTCCAGCCCTTCTATGGATCCCTCTTCCCCCCTCCTCCGCCCCCTCTTCCCTCCTACGTCCCTCATACCCCCGCCTCATGCCCCTCCCCCATCACCCTTCTTCTTCCCATGGGTGCCTCCTCCTCCTCCGTCTCCTCCTCCGCTCTTCCTCCTCCTGCCTCCTCCCTCCTCCTCCTACTCTTCCCTCCTCCTCCCTCGCTCCTCTCCTCCTTCCTGGCCCTCCAATCTTGCACTGCCGTGCTACTCCTACTTGCCTCCTACCCTTCGTTTCCTACGTCCTCGCTGTCTCCTTCCCTGCCTCCCCTCCCCCTCCTCCTCATCCTCCTCCTTTGTTTTTGATGGGCTGTCCTCCTCGCCGCACCACTAAGGCGTGCCGGCATGGCGACTGGGGAGCTTCATGTGAGCTTTCCCCATGGAAAATGTGATCTCGAAGCGCGAAATCCCCAGCAGCTACACGGACGGAGGGCGGGTGTGTGGTTCTCGCCATGGCATTGCGCACAGTCGTCTTCAGCGTTCTCTCTGGCTGCGCAGATGAAAGGCGATCCGTTCTCAACATGTGGTTTTCGCTGGAGGGCGGGCGTGTGGTTCTCGCCATGACATTACGCACATTCGTCTTCAACGTCTTCTGCACGGATGAACGGCGAGCCGTTCTCGGCATGTGGTTCTCGTTCTGGCGCCGCGCGCGTTCTTTCCCACGGCTTCCGACAGCTCGCGCACGGACTGCGGGTGGTTTTCAGCATGTAGCTCTCGTTTCAGCGGCGTGTCCGCTCACTTGAAACGTTTCCAGAAGTTGCACGGGCGGTGGGTGTCCCAGTATTCAGAGTGCGGTTCTCGTTCGAGCGCAGCGCATTGTCCAGCAGTGACACGGATGCGGACGGTTCACCCCCAAAGTCCGGATCTCGATTGGGTCGTGTCGGGGCACATCATGCGAAAGTCAGAAAGAAAAAGAAAAGCTCAATTGATGGATAGTGGTTAATGTTCAACGTGTAGCTCTCACTTGACGCGCTCTCAGGTTTGACAGCCCGAGCCCGCCGTTCAAATGTGAAGCCGTTATACGCATGGAGGGCGGCCGGTTTGTAAACGGAGACGTTGTCTGACGTCGTTATTCAATGTCATGATCTTGCACGCTGACACTTCTATGAGCTACCAGTGTGAGTGAGGCGGCTGTTTTTTTTTTGTTTTTTGTTTTTTTTGTTTGCGGAGGTGTTGTTTGACGTCCTCCTTCTCAACTTCGTGATCCTACACGCTGCCACTTCTATGAGCCACCAGTGTGTTCCAAAAAACAGGCTTCTCGCTCGATGGCCTGCGGCATGCCCACGGGGCGCCCGTCTTTCAAGGCGGCGCTCCCTGGTTGGGGGCGGAAGGAACTGCTGCAGCATTGTTGATGCATCATCGGTTCTTGTCGGTCCCTTT